TTCTACGGGATTCTTGCCCACAATAGTAGATATGATAATCATCTGAATGGAATTCACCCATTCCTGTCCATTTTAATTCATTGATGCCCAGGATGTCAATGTTTATTCTTGCCATCTCCTGTTTGACCACATCCAGCTTCCCAAGGTTCATAGATCTTACATTCCAGGTTCCTATGCAGTATTTTTCTTTGCAGCATCGGACTTTCCTTTCACTTTCAGGTGCGTCCAGAGCTGAGCGTCCTTTCGTCTTTGGTCCAACCATTTCATTAGCTCTGGAGCTACTTGTACTTGTTCTCTGCTGTTCCTCAGTAGCATGTTGGACGCCTTCCGACCTGAGGGGCCCATCTTCCAGCGTCATATCTTTTAGCCTTTTGTTTCTAATCATGGGGTGTTCTTGGCAAAAATACTGGAGTGGCTTGTCAATTCCTACTCCAGGTGGATTGTGTTTAGTCGGAACTCTCCACTATGACCTGTCCGTCTTGGGAGTCCCTGCACGGCATAGCCCATAGCTTCTCTGAATTACTCAAGCCCCTTCGCCACAACAAGGCAGCAATCCATGAAGGATTAATGTTAGAACGGTAAAGTGATTTGGATTATTATGGCGGATTGCTTTTACCATTATCTGTTGTTTATTGCTTCTCACTGTACCAAGTACCAGTATACAGCACATTTCTAGACAATTTTAAATGATCACTTCATGATAGCCAGTCTAAATGTGCATGCATATATTACACTTTTAACTTTAATTTGCTGTTGCTGTTTCTTTCTCTGTGTTTCTTGGTTTTTCCAGATACCCTGCAAGCATGTATTCTGCTATGATTGTGCTCTTTTACATGAAAAAAAAGGTGACAAGATGTGTCCAGGGTAAGTTTACAATTATATTCAGACCAGGGGTAGGGGAATAGTTTGCTCTCTCTTTTCAAATGTTACCTCACTTGATTCTATCTGTTCCCATATTGAAAATGTTATGTGTGAATCAACTCTCAATTTAGTGGGGATAGAAGGAAGAAGATTCTTGAGGCCAAATCAGGTTCTCTGTCAGGATAATTTTATACACCTACAAGTTAGTTCCAAATTACTGTCAATGATTAAAGAGTTATCCAATTCATCAGTTATATCACATACACAATAGTAGTTTGTAATAATTAGATTAGGTAGTGGTAGACTCCACGAATATTAAGAGTGATAATTTCTACATTATCTCTTTCATGATATAGTTTTATTTATTTTAAGTACTTTATGGCATCGTATTTTATTGACATCCAAAACCTTTTTTATCACAAGGAAGAGCTTTAATAGTAGTCATATTCTTCATCATTATATGCGGTCATATCAGTTCCAACTGATGACAACCCTAGTTATAGAATACTCAGAATTTAGTGTTTTGTTCTTCTGGGGTTGTGCTCTGGGACTGTTTAGCTTACACAAGACCATGCAGTGTAGTTATGGTCTTACAAGACACAGTGTGGAATTAAAACTTCCAACCTCCAACTCTACTCTCAGGCTCATCATCTCATTGAGCGCTCTGGCTAGCTTGCAAAGCATGAATTAACTGCATTTGTTTGGTTCTTGTGATTCATGAAATACTGAAAAATTAATTTGATTTAATTATGGAGTCTCATGGGGTAGTGGGGAAAAACTGCAGCACTGCAGTCAATACTCTGTTCATGACCTGAGTTTGATCCTGACAGGCTCAGGTAGCCAACTCAAGGTTGACTTAGCCTTCCATCCTTCTGAGATTGGTGACTGAGTACCCAGCTCACCGGGAGGGGGTGGGGGAAGCAATGTGTAGCCTGCATAGCTAAATTGTAAAACTGCCCAAAGAGTGCTTTAAGTGCTAAGGGGCAGTATACAAGCAGCATACTTTGCTTTTACTGTTTCATTACCTTTTTGGGGAATTTTGCATAGAGGTTAATAATAGATAGACTTGCTCATTTTCTATATTGAAAACCCTAGAGTCAATTATCTGAGCCACTTAGGATGAATTTTCAAAATAATTTTGTTTGGAGAAACTTATCAATAAGGTGCCTTTTGCTTGCTGATTTTTTATAGTGACAGTCTTGGTGATTGCTCCTCCTATGGATACATTCTGAACCTTCACGTTTCTTTTAAAATAGATTCCCCATGGGGTACATTAAATGATTGATTCATCCCACAGGGTGAAATTCTGTTGGCATAACTTTATGCTGTGCAACTTGAATAACATCATTCGGCTGTGGCAGTAAAATTTAATTTTATATAATAGAAAGTTTCCTATTCCTCATACCTTCAGGTTCTCAGGCCCTTAGAGCTCCCTTTTGACTTGGAGAAGCCTTGGGTTAACCTTGGTACCAGGTGTTGGGGAGCCTTTAAGAGCTGATAATGGCCACTGTTGCCTTCTCCAGATTGAAAGGGAACCTTGGAACATAAAGAGGTGTGTGTGGATAAGGAAGGTTTCAATTAAATTAAATGTTACTGTCATAGACTGATGACATCACCCTAGTTCTGTAGTGTAAAGTTAAGCTGCCGGGATTTCAGCCACAGTGTCATAAAGGTTTGTGAAAATTTTACCTTTACATGCACTGTTGTCCTGAAAGAGTTATTGAACTATTGATACTGTTAGTGTTCTTTCAAGGTAAATTGATAGTTAAGGAAATTGAAGCGGTTTTCGTTCTGAACATAACTTGGCAAAATGCCAAGTATACTACCCATGTAAAACGAGAAGTCCACAACTGATGGACTGTGTGCAGCCCTCCAACCAGGTGAATCACCTGTAGAGCCCTCTAGGAGCCAGTTCACCTTGAAAACAAGGTGTGCATCTACCACATGCCTTATTTCAATGTAAAATATATCTTGGTGAAAAATACATATATATATTTTAAAAAGGAGTGACCTTTTAGTTATTCCTAATTTTGGTATGCGAGCGAATTGCACAACTGTAGCAAGTCCTGAGGTTGGAAAATTAGCCCCTGGATTTGCTGAACTTGCCCACCCCAGCATATAAGGTGACATACTTATTGCAACATGTGAATTGATTCTAAGGGAGAAAAAGTGTAGATAAAATCAGGATATTTATCCCAGAGAACAATAATATATTATAATGTGAAAGAGTTAATGCTTAGTTTTTCTAAATTTGGGAAAGCAACAGCTTTTTAACCATTTTGAAATGTTTCTTTGCAATTTTGCAGCAGTGTCTATATATCACATTCATGTTTCTTTCTTTCCTAATCCAGCTGTAATGAGCCTGTGCAGCGAATTGAACAGTGTGTACGAGGGTCTCTCTTCATGTGTAGTATTGTGCAAGGGTGCAAGAGAACATATTTATCCCAGAGAGACTTACAGGCTCACATCAACCATCGCCATATGAGAGCTGGCAAGCCAGTTGCACGCCCTCCGATCGAGCCTGTTCATCCTCCTATAGCTCCTCCTCCTGCTGAAATCCCAGAGCGGTTCATAATGCCACCTGACAAGCATCATCTGAGCCACATTCCACCAAAACAGCACATCATGATGCCACCTCCGCCGTTGCAGCATGTGCCACACGAGCACTATAACCAGCCACATGAAGACATTCGTGCATCCCCAGCAGAGATGTCCATGGCTCCTCCTCCCCCTCGCTCAGTCAGTCAGGACACCTTTCGCATATCTACAAGAAAACACAGCAATCTTATAACTGTCCCTATACAAGATGATTCAAGCGCTGGTTCACGTGAACCACCTCCACCAGCCCCAACACCTGCTCACCATCATCCTGAGTACCAGGGCCAACCAGTGGTATCCCACCCTCATCATATTATGCCACCACAGCAACATTATGCACCACCCCCTCCTCCACCTCCGCCAATAAGTCATCCCATGCAACATCCTCCCCAGACAGCAGGTACTCCTCATCTGGTTTATAGCCAAGCTCCACCACCTCCAATGACCTCTGCTCCTCCACCAATCACCCCTCCTCCTGGACATATCATTGCCCAGCTGCCTCCATATATGAATCACCCTCCACCTGGACCACCACCACCTCAGCATGGTGGCCCACCTGTAAATGTAAATGCACCCCCTCCCCATCACTATAACCCTAATGCTTTGCCAAAGTTCAGTGAAGACCAAGGAACTCTCAGTCCTCCGTTCACTCAGCCAGGGGGAATGAGTCCAGGCATATGGCCAGCCCCAAGAGGGCCACCACCGCCACCAAGAATGCAAGGTCCACCTTCTCAGGCTCCACTTCCTGGACCACACCACCCTGATCAAGCCAGATACAGGCCATACTATCAATGATGTTAATAGTAACTTGAACTAAAGTATGATATAGGAAAGATAATATTCTAAACAGACGCCTTTTAATGATGCTGACTGTTTGGAGATTTTTTTTCTTTTTCTGTTTCACTTTGTTTATTTCAAAAAAACCGGTGACTTTAAACACTCTGGGGGACTTAAACCTTAAGATAAATTTTTAAAACCTTGATCGTAGAACTCTTGACACCTGATATACCATAGTACTAAGTGGTTCTGTAGTTGACAGCTATGTTTTAACAGACATAGTATCCATAGTCTGGTTGAACTACCCCAGAGGTGAACATTTGTAATATTTCCCAAACAACCAAATACTTATTGTACCACCTTAAAGTATTTTTGTTAAATTCAATGGTTAGATTCATTTGTGATAACGTTTTCTTTTTTGTCAGCCTGTGTATAATTAAATTTAAAACATGGTAAAAACGTTTGCTTTTTTTGTTTAAACTTAAATTTATTGTTTGTACTGGAGTGGAAAGTAGGAATAATGGATTTGCTTTTAAGATTTTTCACTCAATCGTATCATTTTCCTGTTTGTAATCTTTGAGAGAAAAATAGATAAACTAGTTCCTTTGAATGGATTTAACGCTACTTACCGAGAAAGGAAAAAAGTTGGGTGTCACGAACATTCCCTCTAATTTTTGGCGTTGCTGCTTGAAACCAGAACTAAATGAGCAAGTACATTGACTGCCAGTGCATATCCCCGATAGAGCTCTGCGCATGTGCAACTACACTCATAATATATGCAGTTAAGCTGTGATTTTATCTGGGAATGATTCTTATATTCAGTGGGGTTTACTTTAGTGAGACATATATAAGATTGCCCTGTTAAAGTCTGAGATCACACATATAATTTAGTGCTTTAAATATTTTAGGAAGAACAGTGATATTTACCTTACAAAATAACATTCCAACAGTGAAAGGTATTCCTAACTATAGGTTAAACTTTTGCATTGACTTCTGGATAGTTCAAATTTAAATCTTTGCAATATTGGAAACAAGTCTGGTATCCTTGTTCACTTCGTGGCATAATGAAATAAGGTGAGTTTGCCCCATCAATTCCATGAAGATGGTATTCTTGAAAGATTTATGGAAAGAATGTTATACTTAAGAACAGTTATGTATATATGAAATTGAGACCTTCAAAATGTAAAGTGAATGTGCAACAGCTGCATGTTTGCCATGGTGTGTATTGCAGAGGCACATATCAAATACTGTTGCTCAATTTGCTTGTGATGGTAAACGTACTCATTGCCATGTAATCTGTGAAATGGTAGACACCAGTGTTTAGGAACTGAATGCTGTTCTGCTGATAGTAAGAACAGCACATTGAGTCAGTAGAGCTGCAGTTGATAACATAGTAAATCTTACTGCAAACTGTAGCTAAAATCCTGTTGTGCAACTTAGTGCTGTGTAAGACTGATGATGTTATCAGCCATGATGGTTTTTCAGAAGTTAAAAATTTCCAATTCTCCTTGCATGTTCTGAGGCTCCCTCGGGATCCTACTCATTATGGGGAAACAGTTTGGGGCTGCGGAATGGTGGTGGGAAATCTTTAATTTGCATAGGTTGCTGCCACTGGGAAACCTTGTAGTCTTTGGGAATGGGGTGTGTGGAGATTTTCTATTTCCAAAGCAACTATCATGACTGATGTCATCAACCTTATGCAAAATTGAATAATTTGACTAAATTTCAGACATTGGGACTTAATTTCTGATTAGGCATATACCGGATTGCACTATGTGGCTGCAAATCTCTATACATTTATCTGAGAGTAAGCCCCTCTATGTGTAAATACTTAAGCTCTTAAACGATTTATTTTCTGTCTATTAAATTTTGCTGAATTTGCATTTTTTTTTGCACATATGTACTTGGAGGATGTGCAAACATGCAATCAAAAATCAGGGAGTCTCTTTTTGTTGCATGGATCTACTTTTGCTAATTTCCAAGCAAATAAAGTTGTAATTCTCTGCATAGCTTAGTGTATCTGGCTGTGAAGCCAGAGATTGGGCGTTCAGTTCCCCACTGTGCATCCAAGGAGAAGAGCCATATTGTGTGTGGCCTTGGGCAAGCTGCACAGGCTCAGGATGTCCTCAGAAGGGAAATGGTAAACCACGTCTGAGTACCCTCTACTTAGAAAACCCTGAAAAGAGTCACCATCAGTCTTGACTGACTGGAAGGCACACAATTATTAATCTTTCTGAACATGAAACAATACACTGTTCATTTAGAACACTGGCTATGTACAGTAGCTCTTCAGGAAGCAACTTCAGCTTGTGTAAAATAGACACGTATGAGTGTTTGAGGTCTTCAAGAGGAACTGCAATAAAATATCTAGATCTAAATATCTGTGTGGTCTGGGATTCAAAGACCCATGTATGAAATTTTCTCTAAATTTAAATATGTTTGACTTGTGTTTCCAGAGCAGTGCAAACCTAAGTGAGTTTCAAAAGTAGTTGCTAATACAGCAGAGAAATCTGTTTTTAAAATGGGGCAGAAACTTACATTAATGTTCTCATACATACATAAAGTACAGCTTAGATCCTAGCCATGGTTCAGAGACATGGCTGCTTCATTCCTGAGAATAGGGTGTGGCCTTAATGATCTGCTGCTGCCCAGGGTGTTCAATTCCTTTCACTGTGTGGTTCTAAACTGTAAGTACAATTAACCTTATGTAATTAACACTTCAAAGGTACCGATTGGTTTTCTAAGTGTATGTTGCACATTTGCCATTACAAACTGTTCAGATTGCTTCAAAAGAACCGAGCAAATGTATGGGGGTTAAGTCCCGATAACTGTTTGGAATCTCCAGATGTAGAGGCTTTATGCCTTTGGCTGACAGTTGCCGTAGAAGTCTATTCCCTCCCCCCCCCCAAGAACAGACCAGTTGACTCACCAGTCGCTGCATGGTGTGGATGTCCATCATTGTTGACATCACTCCAATCATGGAAGTAGCCTGGCTGGTGCCTCCACGCATAGATGACCACTCTGGCAAGGAGGTGGGAAGAAGACCACCGTTCGGTCAGCTATGTGGGGAGGTGGGAAGTGCTGGCCGTGCTACTTCCAAGGGGGGTTGGGAATGGGCCTCTCTGGCTATTCCCAGAGATATAACTACAAATAGTCCATCTCTAACACAGAATCTTGCTCCCCAACAATATATAAACAAGAGTACTGTGTGTGTGGTACCAAGAATAATAAATAAATAAATAAATTGGAAATTTATGTATGTGTGAAAGTAGAAATCAAACCTGCTAATGAACAATGCTGGCAGTGATAACGGTCACAGGGTCTATGGAAACATAAATGGAAAGCTTCTGGCATCTTATTTAATGGCAAGTAACTGTTGTAACTTGTGCAATATCACTTATGCATGTATAAATCACCAGTAAGATTCTGGCCCATATGAAGCCGTCATAGTGGTACTGGTTAATAGTCTTTATAGTGGTACTGGTCTTATCCTCTATAAATTTGTCTGATCCAGAATTACATTCATCCAATTTGCCAGCCATCACTACGCCTGTGATAAGGATTTCCACAGTTTAACTGTGAGTAAAAAGATGTGCTTACTCAGGGTTTTCAGAACTGTTTTTTGGCTGGGTGGAGTTCAAGACTGGCAGGCAGGCCTTTAAGAATTTTGCCTACTAGGTGGTGTGTTTTTACTCAGTGGACAAAATAAACAACAAATTTGTCACTTTCTATTTAATACAGTTAAATGAGTGTCAGTCATAAATATTGTTGGAAAAAAAGAAACAAGTGGTAAATGAAGTGAAACTTACAGAATTGTTAGGGAAAGAATCAGAAAGGAATTTGTATTTACTGTCCTTATAGAAATCTATAATGAATTGCACTTTATATATTGCACCTAAAATAATGTAGAGAATTCTGAAATACTGTACAGTATACAATTCTAGTCCCTTAAAGGGAAATTGTGGAGTTGGAAAAGGGCAACCAAAAGGATCAAGGCACTGGAGTAACTCTTGTGTGAGGAAGTCACCCAATTCGAAGTTGCTCATCTTAGAAAAAATGTGTGTAAGCTGAAACATTGTGTAAGGGGAGAAACTGTGGACTCTTCCCCCCTCTTGTAACACTAGAACCCGAAGAGGTTATCCACTGAAGCTAAATTTTAGGAGATTCAGAACAAATAAGTATGCAAAATACTTCTTTGCACGGCACATAGCTAGACTATGGAATTCACTACCACAAGATATGATGGCTGCCAAGTTGGATGGCATTAAAAGGGGTTTTGATAAATTCAAGAAATTTAGGGGATATCCATTGTTGGAGATCACATGATGCAGCTCTATTTATGTCCTAGTGGGCTTCTCATAGGGAACTAATGGGCCACTCTGGGAACAGCATGACTCCTGTTAAGTTCTTAAATCAGCCGAAAGTATGAAGAATCATGAACATTTCTATAAATTTCTAAAGGAAGATTTGAGAAAAATGAAAAATACAGAAAAATATTGTGATTTATGAGATGGGTAAGGACCATTTCTCACCTAGTTTAAGTGTAATAGCAAAAGATGGCCCCTCTCCCTACATTATAACATAAAATGAAACAAAATAAAACCTGCATGCAGATAGATGAAAAAAAGAATATCCACAAGTTTCATTCACTCTTTAATATTATTTAAAACACCACTGTGATATTTCCCACTAATTCATTGCTTCTCTCTTGCTCTTACTGTTAGGAATGTATTCCAATTGTTTGTCCATTTGTTTTATTGATATGCTACCTTTCTCCCGATAAGGGAATCCAAGGCGGATCATAATTAAAGACTTGATTTCTGTTCATTAATTACACCAAAAATGAATTTTGGATGAATTTTAAATGAAATTAATTTTGAATTTCAAATATGCCAACAGTATTAATATAAAAATAACTGTTTTTGGCCTTCAGCTTGGCCCCTTTAAGGAGAAAGGTGGGGTAAAAACAAACAAATAAGTAAATAAATAAATAACACAGCAAGAGTTAAATTTGAGCTATCACTGATACCAGCATTAAGACAAACTGGCTCCAGAGCACATGGAGAGTGCACACAAACATTGCAGAAGGAACATGTTTTGTGAATGCTGCTCAGTCAAGCTTCACTGGATCCTGATGTTGTGGCCCTTTGGCTCTTCAGTGATGTTGTGTAGATACTGTCTGATACCTTTCTATGAACACAACAGCTATTCTAATGCTTTAGGGTGTGGGTATAGAACAGTACTTTTCATAAGCCCCATGTCAGAAGGCCTTTCCAATTGTATTCAGTGGAAATGCACAGGATTATCATCTAGGAGGGCTCAACTACAATAGCAGTTTTCAATATTTTCTCCTTTTAATTGTTTTAGAAACAGGTCTGGTTTATACATCGTAAGGGGCTCAATCATACAGTAGTCTTAGCTTAGCTTTTGCCAAATCATTTCATGCAGAAAGCTCAGCCCTCCCATAGCCTAATCAAGAGGAGGGGCTTCACTCCCCTGCACCCCTATTCTATATCCATGAATAACTTGCTTCATCCCATTGTTTGTACACCTTTACTTCAACCAAGATTCCTTTGCTGAATGTGTGGCAAGAGAGTGGTTTACACTAAATTAA